GGCAATCCTCCTTTGGTTTGCGGTTAGAGACCACATCACGAATTCTTTTCAACGAACTTTTCCTTCGAAAATGAAAGTCATGTCACGATCTGTCACTAAGGAATTCTTGGAAGCTCATTTTTAAAAATATCTTCTTAGTGATTTAATGAGGGATAATTAGGGTTTCCCACTCAATGAAACGAATAGACCTGTCGATGTTATTGCTGTCCTGAACGGTCTATCTCGCCCGGGCTTCCGGGGGCATTAGATACAGGCTCATGAGTGTTTTGGCGACGCTACCATTCGAGTACACAACCACGGGGGAACAGATGCGGCATTCAAGGCAAGGCAAGACTATCATTAATTATTGAATAAAAATGTAATCACTCTAGGGTGCTTAAGGTGATTAAAAGTCTTGTATTTTAGTTGAGTTTAATTTAATTTGGCCTCTCCTCCCAAAAGGCGATCAGTTCCAAGCTAGGCTGAATTTTTGACCCTCGCCCCATTGAAACCGGCTCATGGGTATCATGTCGTCTGTCATAAGTCCATCACCAATACCACATTCATAGTAGTATTGTCGATTAACTAACCATGTATTTGTGGGTTCAATCGACTGCGTTAGGTGTTTTCAAAGTAAGCGATCGTAGAGATATTCGGTAATTTTTATATAAGATACAATATTGACCATTTTGGGTTGTTTACTCTTGGGATGCCTAGCAAGATGGTGGTTTTGAGTACACCATCTTGGAACTCCTGCAAACTGGGATCAAGATCGTCGATTAACACTCCCTCGGTGCCAATTAGAGGACATCAATACAGTTTTGGCAAAGTCGAACCAAAGTGGTTCACTAGGCGGGTCCAGTAACTGAAACAGTCAGGACAATTGGCAAGACTACTGATGCCACCACAAGTAGTAGTGTTGGTTTAAATGAAAATGTCATTGCCGAGCAGGCTAGATAGCAGGGCTACCTGGTTTTGGAGGCTGGCTTTGCTGAGGGCCGACCTTTCGGCCCAAAGATGGTCCTATTTGATTGAGGAGATCGCCGACCAACGACTGGATACTGGCACGGAAACCGAACGAATGGGAGCCGGAATTGCTGCGCCGTCCAGCTCCTGTCGGACCGAGTGACGGTGGACGAACTGGTACATTTGAAGTCTGTCCGGGCGGGTTGCCTGGCCGGCCAGCATCGTTTGGCGCGCCGAGGGAGTGATGAATGCGTCGAAGACAGGCTCGAAGTGCGGGATGCTGCTTGCGCAGGGTGGGCTGACGGAGGAGGGCTGGCTTCAGCAAGTAGCTGTAGGTAGAGAAGAGGTGGGAAAAAAGAGGTGTGAAGTGAGGAGGCAGATTCCGAAGATGACATGTGCTGCAACAGAAGCCAGATATGTGTAAATGCGATGAAAATGGGAATTTACTGATTGTTGAACTTTTTAATATTTTGAGTAGAAGTGTTTGGTGAAGAGATTCGAAGGTCGATTCGACCAGAGGACGACGGCGGTTTCCTCTTGACCGGCCGTCGATCGGCTTTATTGCAACATTCTTGTAGACGCTGTAACCGAGGAAAAACGTGCTCAGCTCTCGTCCGCCGTAGATGATATCAAACTTACAATCACATTCAAGCTAACGGGCCATGAAATTCACCGGCTCATCCCCAAATACTGTATGTATCCTCTATATGTAAGCTCTTAGCTGAGGCATAAAGTGATTTGTTTTTCGTTTATAAGTAAAGTTTTGAGACTACCAGTTGATCAGTTCTATGAAATGTGTTACTCCTATTTCGTTTAAGGTGGGGAAGGAATGATAGTTGAATTTTCTCCACAATGTCATGTGTAGAGCTGACCTTTCAATTGAATTTCACATGGCCTTTCCTTCCCAAAATTTGTCTAAACTGCAGTCCACCTCAGCCTGGATGAGAACATCTTTTGTGAAAGCAAGACCATGTGAAAGTTGCTAGAAACGTCAGCTCTACTC